TCCGCCCACTACCGGAAAACCCGGCAGTTCTTAAAAGCTAAAGAATTCCAAAGGAGCGCTGTTATTTTGACAAGAAAATACAACAAAGAATATCGTTTACATGTAGCGCGTCAATTCTGCAAGACTCTCTTGTTCTCTCTCTGCTCTCACCAAAGCGACCGTTACACTAGAGTTTACGGTACGTCAAATACAGGTGCACTGCGCATCCATTGAGATGAACTGAAAAATAGCACAGATCGCTTGACGGAGAGTGAAACTCTGAAGCGCTCAGTCAGAGTGTTCGGTGAGTGAAAATATATCAGTGCTAAACTTATACTTAGCCTCCAACTCACACACTGGTGAGTAAAATCTGAGAATTTATTAGCCATTGGCTAATATTAAACATCGTTTAGTCGCAGAGAGTGAAGATTTAGTCGCATATGCAAGTGATTTACTCACAATGTAGAGGGTTGACTGTAATTGCAAGAAAAAGCAATGTAGATATTAAAGGAAAAATTGATAGAACTTAACAGTTACTACAGCAATGGTTTCCTCCTCCTTAAAGTTTATGGCCCACCACCCGGCCAACTCGGAAACACTGGTATCAAAATTATCTCCAGTTTCTCATAGACTCTTATATTTGATAACTGTGATAACACATGGAGGCAGCATTAAGCCACTGTAATGTTTTGATTTTTTTCACTTTTCAAGTAAATAATTTCACACAAAGAAGTTTGTTCAGTTTTAAATGATAAAATGTTTGTGAATTGTTCAGAGTACTAATCTGTGTTATTGTAAATAAGTTAATTCTAGCATCATTTGTGTGCAGCTGCCACTTAAAGTATTTTTTAAAAGTCTAATTCAATGACATTTAGACATTTCTAAGTGGTTTAAGTGCCCAAATCTTTTTGAGGACACTGTAATTTAAAAAAAAACAGCACAAGGTTACAAAAACACATTTATGATGTTTTCTTTCCCAGAATATTAAAGGGCATGTACAAGGATCCAGAAGAATTGATGTGAACCTTGAGCAGAAGGTTGTGCGTTCCTGTTTAGAGGAACTGAAGACCTTTCCAAAACGGTTTGTGATAAAGAACTAATATGCTAATTGGAAGTCAGTTTTGTAATTCTATAACTAAAAGCTTCTGTAGTCTACATTTTTTGTACAGGGGACAGCTAATCAAGTTTATTTCACTTAACGGCTGTTATATCTTTATGTGCTAATTTGACAGTTATTATAGGAAAAAAAGATTAGCATATAATTTCCGGGTTCCCTCTCGAGCTTTCACGAGACATCACAGAGACATTTCTCCGTTATAGGAACTCCTTCCCTTCCAACCTTTCTGAAGTCCTATTGGCTCACGCCAGTCCAAATGACTGGCCAATTGTCACGACGTATGCTAGTCGCTTGCAAATACTGACGAGCTCAAGAGGCAGTATAAAATGAATGAATGAATGATGCATTTATATAGCGCTTTATTGTGTATTGTTGTACACCCAAAGCGCTTTACAATCATATGGGGGGTCTCTCCTCAACCACCACGAGTGTGCAGCATCCACTTGGATGATGCGACGGCAGCCACAGGACAGCGGCGCCAGTGCGCTCACCACACACCAGCTACAGGTGGAGAGGAGAGAGAGTCATAGAGCCAATCAAGTGGTTGGGGATTATTAGGAGGCCATGATTGACAAAGGCCAGGGGGGCAATTTGGCCAGGACACCGGGGTTACACTCCAACTCTTTACGAGAAGTGCCATGGGATTTTTAATGACCACAGAGAGTCAGGACCTCGGTTTAACGTCTCATCCGAAAGACGGAAAGATTGTCCCCGTCACTATACTGGGGCATTAG